ATAAAAAAATAATATTATTGTAATGTGCTTTTTTTTTTTTTGAAAAAAAAAAATAAATTTAATAATAAAATAAGTTAACAAACATCCCATAAAAGTAAAATTTAAAGCTATTATTTTTTCAAATGAAAACGTTTAAGTAAAATCAAATTTAATTAATTTTAGATTAGTTCTTGCCTGCTCTGGGTTCGCCCTTATTTTAAGCAGTGTTTTAAGCTCGCAAGTCAATGTTTTCCACAATACATGCAAAAAGTTGAAAATAGTTAGGAGAGTTTGTTTTCTTCTTAGTTGGAAAAAGCTCGCAGATCACTATCAATTACGTATCTTCATCAATAAAAATGGAGAAATGATTCAGCAATCAAAATTCAATTACTTCAGTTTAGAAGTTTACAGAGGCGTTTCAACTAAATGTAAAATTAGGGAAGAAAATCCCTTAATACAAAACATGATTTAGTAATAATGATTGTCAAAGGGCACAGTTTACTGACTCGACAACAAAACTCTCAGGTCTTATATATCCTTCTCTTTGATCCAACCAAAAAGAAAAATAGACATCTCTCGATCCCAATGCGAACCGGGTCTAGTTTCTATCTTTTAACCTAGTTTAAGGCTTTGTACAGCAAATTCACAATGAAGGCTTTCATATCAACTACTAGGAAGACATGGTTAATCTCAGTTTGTATACTGTATCATACAAGAAGTTCCTGCAGTTTCCGCTCATTCTAGTGATATTTCGTTGTGAAGTTCAAATCAACATGTCCTTACAAGCTTTGATCTCCACATTTTTGCAAGCCAACCACTTTCCCCACTTCTGTCGTCTAAATTCCTTCTCTTGTTTTTAGTTTCGGTGTCCTCAGCAGCTTCCCTCGATGGCACATTCCTCACCGGAAGTTGAGGACCTACTCCTTTTGATGCCTCAACAATTCGAGCCACCATTTCCAACACCTCGCTCATCTTTGGGCGTGACTTGGGATTTCTGACTAAGCATCTGTTGGCTACGGTTGCAAGCTTTTGGGCTGACTTCAGAGGGTATCTTCCTTCAAGCTTTGGATCCAAGATTAGTCGAAATCTCTTCACATCAGATAGATATGGCTTTACCCAATCTAAGAGTTGCTGCTCACTCTTAGGACGATTTCGATCTAGAGGGCGCCTCCCAGTGATAAGTTCATAAAGGAAGACACCGTAGCTCCATACATCGGTCTTGGATGTCAGACGACCAGTCTGAACATATTCAGGAGCTGCATATCCCAAGGTTCCAACAACCTGATAAACATGAATGGTTAGACATATTAAATTTAAATGAACAGGAGTAGCTGCCTTATGCTTCACCAAACATGTGTGGAGAAAAGGTGAAGTGGTTAAGAAAAGATGTAAAGAAATAATACGTTAAATCATCTTGCATCTCATCATATTGACTTTTGTTAACCTTTTTGCTTTTGTCAAATAAAGGGTGAGGTTGGACTCTTACTGTACCAGTCATTTGTTTCACACATGATTTGATGCACAAGGGAAAAGTTCAAACCTTTTAGTAGTAGTAGGGTGAATAAGGCGCAGACAAAAATGATGATTAATAGAATCAACATTATCAAAATCATTATAGGGTGAAATATCTTTCGTTATAACCAATAAGATTATAAGTTATCATTTATTATGCATAATGAAATTAGTATTACTAAAACTATAAGCTTAAAATCATCTTTTATTGAAAAACTACATATATATGTATATATATTAGATTATTTTTCAAAATCAAGCAGAAGCAATTGCTCACACTTGGTCATATGAGAAGCCACCCCTGTTGACGACAGAAGACCACCTCTATAATAATGTAGTATATTACACAAGAATTATTTGCAAAATTCATTACTAACTACAAAAATATGCACAAAAAAAAAAACTAATCCAAATACCATCAAATTTCCAACTTTGAACAACAAATAAAAGTCGAATCACACACAGACAGTACATATATATTTATAGAAATGAACAAATCTCTAGAACAATTTTGTACCCAGTATTCATAAAGTGAACGGTTGTAAGGGACTCTCAAAAACTCACATGGAAAAGTTTAGGATAACCAAATGATCTTGCATATATTCCAAAGATATGGTTAAGCTAAATGAAATAGGGTTAGGGGGAAAAGATATTGCAAAACAATTAGTCTTTAATAGATCATAATGCATGAATTTACCGCTGTTGAGACATGAGTTGACCCTTCTTGAGGGCCCAATCTAGCCAATCCAAAATCTGATAGCTTTGCATTCCATTCCTCATCAAGAAGAATATTCGATGATTTGAAATCTCTGAAAATTATCTACACAGAAAGAAGGGTAGAACTCAATGCAACCTTAATAGCTTGGGAGAGATGCCAACAGCAAAAAGGAAAACATTTTAGATGGGAAATCCATAGCAAATACCTGAAAATCCATTTCTTCATGCAAGTATGCTAATCCCCTAGCTGCATCTTGGGCTATTCTCAATCTCATAGCCCATGGAAGAGTTGTCTCTGAACGAGGGGATAAATGGTCCTCCACGCTTCTGTTAGGCATATATTCATATACAAGAAGTCTTTGCATTCCTCTTTCATCATCCTCAGCACAGTAACCCACTAGTTTAACAAGGTTTGGATGTTCAACCACCCCAAGAACATCTACTTCTGTCACCCATTCTTTGTGACCCTGCCAACCAAAGGGTGGAATCCAATGCCTAGAAATGAGATAAGCAGAAGAGCCATGCCGTAAACCAAAAAGAGCATCCCACATCCAAAATAAGCATATAAATAATTAACCAAACATAAAACACGGGCAATTTGGCCATATGCAGGAAAGAACATATTCAAGAAGGCTATAAGTATGACGTAACGATAGTGTATATGCACATCAACTGCTTGTCCAAAATTTGCAAGTAATGAAAATGACTTTATTTCCATCCTGAATCTTCATAGGAAGAGCCTGACAAATTTATCATATGCTGTGTTTTCTGAGTTAGAATGCAAAACATCGTCTATAGCCAATAGAATTAACTCACAAAAATAGACATGCATGTGGCTAGTCATTGAAGTGGAAAGAAAGTTCTTTGGTCTATTTCATTCAATTATCATTCAGTTCCTCGAACCAAGTGGAGTATGAATGATATGACATTAGATACAAAGTCATCTTATATAAACATCTGATCTTGATGAGACAATCTTTTGCCTAAAAGACACCATAAGACCTGTTGTACCTGGATTAAAACCTTTAGGATAGTCTATATTTCCAAAACTAGATTCCCTAAGACCACAACAACTGAACATCTACCTAGGACATAATTTTATCCATGAAATAAGAAAAGTATATCAAAGAAGTCTTACCTGCAACCCTCTTTTCCCAAGTTGTTTCACGGCAACTTCAATTTTTTGAGATGGATCTTCTAAACTCTTAATAGACCCCCTAAAGACACACCCAAACCCGCCTTCTCCAAGCATCACAGAGCGGCTAAAATTCTTGGTGGCTGACTTGAGCTCTGAAACAGTAAACACTCGGAGATTACTAGTTCTTTGGGACATATTAGGGAATGAATTCCGCTCCATTGACTCTGTGCTGGTTCCTGAGACATCCCGAGAATTTAATTCAGACCCAGATCTCCCTACTTCTCGGTCAGTGAACAATGAACTGGCAGATTGTAGGGAAACTGACTTTGGGGTCTTTGGTTCATCTTTCTTGTCTCCAATGGAGAAACGGAAACACTTCATAGCCCGCGACAAATTAACTCTCACTAATTCTCAGCTGCAGATTCAGATGCAAACAAGAAGGAAGACTAATACAACAAAGGAGAAAGACACAGCATCCAAATATTCAACCATGGAAATAATATTAAACATCCATATAGGAGAAAGTCCATGGAATGTCATAACAAACAACCCAGATGAGGAGTATTTATACTGGGAAGAATCATAGTTTTAGAAGAAAAGCAATAGATATTGGCAAGCTGACAACTGAGAGAACCCAAGAATTTCAGCTCTTCTATACGTAAGGAGGATTTTATGATATCAAAAAATAATTAAAGATTCTCAATCAGCACGGTCAAACACAAAACTTTTAAATAGAAATGCTCAAATTTCTCCTTCGTCACATTCGCCAAATTAGCTGATAAATAATTTGGTAATAATTAACATTTCCTAGTTCTAAATTAATCAGAACAGCGACTGGGACCTATAAATAAATGCCACAAAGCTTTAGCGAATAAGCCCGCCAAAAGATTAATCTCGTCGATTTTGTTCTTTCCAGAATTCTACTTCTCGTAAAACCCAATTCACAAATACAGATTTTGCGCAACAATAATCGATAAGAAGATTCAACCCAAGTACAAAAATTAATACCATACTTGCATCTTGCAGAAATCTTCATCCAGATGATTGTAAATTAAGCCATATTAAACTAAAGAAAAATAAATAATCGAAAAGGGCTTCAGACAAAGCAATCAATTATAGCTAAGCTGGTAAACTCACCTCAAATCTTCGCAAGTTGGGTATTCAGAAATTTGGCTTGAAAGCTCAGCAAAAGATTCTAATTTTAAGGAATTTGAGAGGTGGCCGTTCAATAAATTTGCCCCAAAGGACGAAGACTGAACGAAAAAGAGAAAAAGCAATAAAGTCTACACACGGCAACTGGCACTCGAAGTCAGCAGACCAACCAAAAACGAAGACCCAATAATTTTTTTTTTTTTAAAAATCCACATTTTCTTACAGTAGTCCCTCGGATTATAACCAGAATATTTTTCACCATAGCAACAACATATCCACACACATTTTTTTAAACACAACACACACACACACATATAGAAGAACGAAGAATAATGTATATGAATACCGTCAAATGAGACAAAGTTCCAGTGTCTCGCAGACTAATCATTTGATAAAGACCCGTGATTTTGGATTGAAAGAAGAGTTGAAATCCTTAGTTGTAAGTGGGGACAGCGACAGAGCAAAAGATAGAAGAAAAGTCTTTGTTTCGTGAGGCATACGATGGAATTTGAATCAACCACCCACTGAAAGTCAAATCAGGTCTTTTCTCATCGGAGGAACTTTTAGAATGATTAAAGAAACTTATCCGGGCTTTGGTGTCTTTTAGACTTTTACTGCGCTGGATTTATGATCCTGTTTCTTTCTTGGTTTCCCGAAGAATTTTGCAGGAAGATGATGCTACATATCTTATGAATGTGACCTCAACATTACTTCATCCGGTTCGAGTTACAGTTTGACCACGTCGTTTGACTTCTATTATTACTTTTTAAATTCACCATTTATGGTATAATACAACGCTTAGTAATTACTTTACATAACACTGTTAATTCTTTAGTTACATTTTGTACGTATTTATATGTATGAAAATATTGATTTAAATTTAGTTAAATAAATTAAATTTGAAATATTATTTTTTTAAAAGTATTAATAGCTTAACGTGAAATAAAAAAAAAAAATTAAACCAAATTTACAAAAAAAAAAAATACCATAAAAAATCGTAGATAATTAAGGTTGAAAAAGAAAACTAAACTAAAAATTAGAGAAAATCCCATTTCAATTGGACATGATTACTTAATTTGTAAAATTATATTTTATACATATTTGTTAATAAGCCAATAACTTTTTTGTTTTGCCTAATGTTTATAAATTATTGCGGATTTAAAAAATTATTAAATTTAATTTAAATTTTAACTAAATATATTGTACATGAAAATGCAAGAGAAATATGATAGACATTTAATAAAAGTGATATTTTAACTTCAACCTAATTATTTTTGGGATATATTTTTTTTATATAAAATAATTAAAATTTTACAAATTGAATGATAATATAATAAATTTGAATTAAAATCAACTTAATTGCTTTTAACAAAATTAAATTTTCTTACATATAAATTAAGCTAAGAGAAAACATCTTCAAAATTTATTTGATTCTTTTGTCAATTTTGAATTTTAGTTTAAGTTTAATAGAAGTTTTGTATTTTTTAAGGCTTTTTTTCCATATATTTTTATCAAAATAATTCATTAAAAATTTATGTTTTAAACTAATTTTATCAATTTATTAATTAAATTATAATAAAAATAACTGTATAAGAATTATCAAATTACTTATAATTTAATTAAAAGACTAAAAATAATGGTTCACACAAATGTATTTGACCAAAATGGTAAAAGTATTTTTAGTTATTTTTAAATAAAATTGTTGTTTTAAATACTTAATTATGTTGTATGAATTTGTAGCTTGTGTAAAAAATAAGTGAGCTTTTATTTTAATTTCTAAGTCAGACATCAAAATTAAGAATATATCGATTAAAATTATAATGATATTAATCGATAAAATTTTAAAAATAAATTATTATTCTACTTCGATAGTGAAAATATTCATTTTGGAACATATTATATGATTATATCTTCTATTTTTTTTTTAATTTTCTACTTCTTGAATCATCAACATAAAGATTATCATCACAAATTATATAAATATAAAAAATATACGAATATAAATAAATTTAATTATCGATGTAAAGTATATGTGATTCATATAACATGGATAATAAATTGAAGAAGAAAGTAAAATGATATCATTGAAATTTGTACTGAAGACATGCATATATATACATATATATAAAAGTTAGATAGTGAAAGATGACATTAACTAAAATATATTTGTTAAAAATTCATTATTATATTAAAACTAAAACACTAAAGTTAGAATTAATTAAATTATAATTATAATTTATCAACTTATTAAAGTGGTACTTCTCCTTTTATTTTTTCGTAATCATTACTTACATATATATTGTGTATATATATATATATATGCATATCAATATAGTGACTCGTTAGTTACATACAAATACTTCGTTATAGTTATTTAACGTGACATGCAGGCTCAAAAACATATAGTACCAGTAGGTTGTCCTTCAATGTAGCCGCTCATTGCTCCTCGCCATTTAATTTCTTTCTTCCCAAAAGCCATGATCTCTTTTCATGCCATCCCCAAATATTCATTCAACTCTCTTTCATCAAATTTTCTTCCAGTTTCTCGAGAAAATCTGATTGGTTGTTGTCTCCGCAACGCCTTGTCTGACTTTCTCAATCCGTTTTCTTTGCCAGTTTTTTTTTTTTTTTGTTTTTTGTTTTTTGTTTTCATTTCTCTTTTGCCAGTTGATGAAGGCTCGTTACTTTGTTTTCCCAGTAGGGAAAAAAGGCTTGAGATATAAATACCAAGGTGCATTGTTAGTGATGTTGCCATGGTTGATCCCCTTTGGACTTGTCCAAAACTGGGTTCCCACAGTTCAAGTTTTCTGTTGCGGGTGTTTTTAGTTAAATTCTTGGATGGTTTTCCTCGATTTTGGTATTTGGGGAGCTTCAAGAGATATTAGAAATGAGTAGACTGAAGATTATAGTTCATGCTTGTCGTGTGCCTCTGTTTTTCTTGTTTTTTGTTGTTGCCTTAAGTGTATTGCCTTTTACACTGTGTGTGGATGGGAATGATTACAGTCAAACGGGTAACCCAGCAGCAATTCCTCTTGTCACCGGGCTTATCTATAGCCGGCTTTCAAATCTCAGTACAATATTAGCAGATGATATTGTTAAAAATCTGGGATACTGTATAAAGGATGTGTGAGTGTTTGTCAGGTTTTCATCTTTTCTTTTTGCTTTATGCTGTATGTTCTTTTGATTTTAGCATGTGTGTTTGTCTTTGCAGGAAGAAAGATTGGGATGGAGCATTCGATTTCACAGGAAAATTGGATTTCTTGAGTAATTGTATCAAAAAGACTAAAGGTTTGGAACTTTAACCAATTTGAACCGATATTAGTTTTATTTGTAAAGATGTTACACTATTGGTGTCCTTGTAGAATATCTTTTGCTTAAGCATTTTTTGATAGATGAGCTATATTATCTTTTTCATAGATGATCCTAGGGCAGTATCAAGTTTAAAAGGGGAAAATGAAAATTAAATTAGAGAATTTCCGAATAGTTGGTTAGAATTTGTCAAGAAAGGCACTCCACCATGAAATTCAAGTATTCATGGAAGGCACTTCATTTGATCATGATTCTCGTCTGGTCTAGTTAGTATTGCAGGAGTGATAATTCAGATACTAAACCTGTCTTTCTTACAAGTTCGCTGATGGCACATGATGCTTGAAGCATGGTTTTCTAATTCTTCATTTTACATCCTAACTACCAGGAGGATTAGAAGATGATGCAGTGTAGCCAGATCCAAAATGGGAAACTGGAGCATAATGGCTGTAAATTTTGTAGATAATTCTTGTTCAGTTTTGTTGGGACTCAATTATAGTTCAGTTTCCTTTCATTCAGAAGTTCATCAAGGGGACAAGTGGCTATAATTCGTATCTCTTACCTAGTTCTTGTTTATGAATTTGATTGCAGGAGATCTCACACTACGACTATGTACAGCAGCAGAAATAAAATTTTACTTCAATAGCTTTATCAAAAGGGACGGAGTAACTATCAGTCATGTAAGACCTAACAAGAACTGTAATTTGACAAATTGGGTTGCTGGATGCGAGCCAGGATGGGGTTGTAGTGCTGACCAGAAACAACATGTTGAACTTAAGAATGCAAAAGACTTGCCTTTAAGGACACGTGATTGTCAACCTTGTTGCGAGGGGTTCTTCTGTCCTCAGGGTCTTACTTGCATGATACGTAAGTATACTTACCATAAAAGTTATCACTAATGCTTGTTTTTCTCAAGATATTGTTACTCCCACTGTTCTCAAGACATTTCACTCCTATTCTCTCACTTTTGAACCATATTTTTAGAATGATAAATTTAATACATGGTTCCTTGTTAGATTTAAAATATATCAAAACATCAAACTACTTTAAGTAGATATGTATAGCTTACATGATTTAAATTTTAATTAGTACGTGATACGCAAAAAGAAAAAAGAGTAATACATGATACCAAAATAGCCAAAAAAAAAGAAACAAGTAATGTCTGGAGAATTACCATGGATGAGAGGAATGAGGAAACATTGTATTGTTTAGTCCAAGGTAGGTGAAAATAGAGCTGGAATTCTATTCTTTTTTAGGTGGACAATAAATTCTAAGGGGAGCAAGCTATATGGTTTTATTTGAAAATGGGGAACAACGCATTTGTAATTTCAGCACAAGATGATTTGTTGGAAGTTTCAGCATAGAACTGACTGCGTTCACCTGAACTCTCAACCACAAGCATGATTTGTTGGAAGTTTCAGCACAAGAATTGCTCTTTCATTAATGCTGATTTGTTAGTACTGACTGAAATGCATGTAAAATTGCGACTAATTTTCAATGCGATTTCCTTTTTTCCCTTCTTGTCTGTAGTAAAAGAATCACTGGAAATAGTTGAAAGCTTATAGAATAATCTTATCGATGGAGACATTAACACCTTGTTTTCTCATATTCATGCAATGAAGCTTGCCCATTAGGTGCTTACTGTCCACTTGCAAAGCTCAATAAAACAACAGGAATATGTCACCCGTAAGTTCACATCCCAGTCTCTGTTCTTCTTGTCTTGCTCTCTATCAATTCTTTTGTATGAGGTTTTCCATATAATAATTTATCTATGAACACATTTCTACAGATACAATTACCAAATTCCTCCTGGACAGCCAGATCATACTTGTGGTACTGCCGATAGTTGGGCTGATGTTGAAAGTACTAGCGACATATTCTGTTTACCAGGGTCATACTGTCCAACAACCATACGTGAAGTTCCTTGCAGTAGTGGGTATTGATTTTTATCTCAAAGCTCGTAACCTTAACTCTTTTCTAAGATATTATGTTTTCTTGGACTCTGAATTACTGTGAGAAATTTGTTTTATTGGTCTTGGTTCATCTTTTGGTGAAATAGGCCTGCTATTCAATTCTCAGCATCTATTTTCATTAACATGATTTTTTTGGGTGCAATTTCAGACATTACTGCAGGACGGGTTCTACTTCTCAAAGCCGTAAGTTACAGTCATTTTGCAAGTTAATTTGTGTTCTGCTACTTCAGATTTAAATTAGCACAAAAATTCATATCCTAACTTATTTGATTTCAAATGACATTTTAATAATATATGCAACTTTAAAGAGCTAGTGAAAATGAGCATAAAACTTTATGAGATTCACATAACTAGGATATCTTGTCTACTTTACTCAAATGTCTCAAGGAAGCCTACTTAGGTTTCAGAATCTCAACTCTTCTTGGCTGGACTTGTACTCAAATATATAGGTTGTATGAATGGTTGTTTAGTTAGTTACATGAACCATACTCTCTATTCGGAATTCCTATTAACTAGTCCTTAGGCAGTTAGGCCTTATATATGATTTCTTTTCCATGCCCTATGATTTCTTTTCCATGACTATCTTCACTTTGTTAAATAGCATGAATTTTAGTTAATTTTAGTTATGTTAGTTATTTGGAAAATGGTTGACTGATAGATTTTAATAACCATATTGCAGGATGCCTCAAGTTGAGTACCTGCAATGCCAAGAGTGCGAACCAAAATATTCATGCTTATGGGATTATTCTTATTGTGAGTGGTTACCATCTACTACCAGCTAAAACATTTGACATGTTGATATGTTTCTGTAGCTTCTTGTTAATGAGTGACAGAAACCATTACTAGCATTGCTTTTCTACTTTTTCAACCTCTTTGCTTTAGTTGCTTTTGATCAAAGCATGCAACACTTACATTGTAATTAACTTATTCCTTTATACTAATGAGAAGTAACTCTTGTATAACCGTTCCTCAATATGTTTTCTGCTACAAATTTCTCAGAAGTTTTAGAACAAGTATTACAGAATGGAGCTCTTAGTAATTCAAAATTTCTCTTTTGAATGTAAAAATAAAAAACGAAGTTTAGACTATTAACCAGGAACTTCAAACGTCAGCCAGATGAATTTGATATTTCTATATTGCCAATGTAGGCAGCATTGAGTACTCTGATGATCATTATTTATAACTGCTCTGATCAAGCTCTTTCTACTCGAGAAAGAAAACAAGCCAAATCCAGAGAAGCTGCAGCAAGGCATGCCCGAGAAACTGCACAAGCACGTGAAAGATGGAAAGCTGCAAAAGATGTTGCGAAGATTCGTAAAGTAGGGTTGCAAGAACAGATAACAAGAACGTTTTCTCGCAAAAAATCCACAATGCAATCAGAGCCGCTTAAGACTTCTAATCAAACTAAAACTGGCTCCGAGGATACTTTGCTGCCGCCTCTTGCTCCAGGTACTTCAAGTATCCCTGACAAAC